GAAAAGGAAGGATGAGGAAATTTGGTGGAAAGGACAAAGTAAAAAAAAAAGATAGTATAAAAGTTAAGAAAATGTTAACCATGTTCCTTGTCAACCAAAGAGTCAAGTGTCAACCTACCGCAGTGTGGCTGAGAAAAAAAGACAACACTAATGCCAAAATCTCTCAAGTGAAATAACCATAATAAAGTTATATGATCATATAAGACCCCATCACTCATAAAAGAAGCTGGTATAGTTTTAGGGCCTTTAAAATTCGCAATGAACATTCAGATCATCTTTAAAATTCTTGTTTTTCTTGATTATTTTGGACATTTTTTGTTGTTGTTTTTTGCAACCAGAAGGAACCAGAAGCAAGAGAGCGGAGCTTAGGAGAACTCAACGCTGAACAAGACATTTTTAGACGATCTAAAAATGTTACAATTAAGTTTCATCAACTGAAAACACACTGTGAAAGGTTGTAAACCGAAAACACGGACAACTCCCAGACCAAACAACACCTGTGGTTGCGACCTGTCAATCACAAGGTAGCCACGCCCTAAAGCATAACCTGCTTTATCGTCTATTTGACTCTAAATGGGACCAAAATGAACATCATACTGCATTGAAGAAGACTACTACTAAGACACTAGCGAGTGAGACCATAAACTCATGTTTACAATGTTTACTGAGGTAGTAAATCAAGTGAGAAGTAGAGTCATTTTCTCATAGACTTCTATACAATCAGACTTCTTTTTGCAACCAGAGAAGTCGCCCCCTAATTCTTTTTAATTTTTTTTAGTTTGAGGCAATTTGAAGGCACTTCCGCATTGGCTTCACTTTTCAGAACCGGAAATCGACGCCTGGTTTTAATACAAGGAAGTTGAAGGAACCATGTTAAAGTGTCAAATCACTACTAACACAATAATCTGCAAGATGGAGATGCAATTATACAGTAGGTCAGTCTAGCACTTACTTGGTTGCAATGTGCCTTTTTGTGAAACAACAAGCTTACAGTGTCCTTGTGTGTCCATTTATATACAGTCCCCGTACATTTGATAACCTGCATCACAAAACAAGATATAAGACAGATACACCTTGCCTCTCCTCCACACAATGAATTAAGTACCCTCAAACAATGCACAGCACATCTGTAAATGATATCCAACCAGAGTAATCCACCCTCAAACACAGTTGTGTATTTGGCTGTAAACATGCGTTTTCCGTCAACACCATCCTCTCGTGCTCTAGGGAGCTGCCACCAGTCCTGTCGGTTTCTCTCCTGCTTACCACGAGCCTGAGGGGCCCTAAAGTCTGACAGCCGGTCCCAACGCCGAGACCCGCTCTGACCATCTGTCTGGGCCATGCAGACAGTGGAACTGCTGACACGACATTCTCGTTGTGTTTTTCGGTTTTCTTACACGGGTATCACTGTCAATGCGTTTTGTCCATCCGTGTCGATTCCAAACACATTGTTAAAACATAACTCCAGTTTATTGCAACTTGATTTTCCTAGTTTTGTCATCATTCCTGTTGGTGATTTTAAAACCGCACTGATAGTAAATTGCTGAAACAAGAGCGAACCAAGCAACGTCCATGCTAAAAAAAAGAATGGGACACGAATGAGTAGTGAGACAATCAGACCTCCAGCGTAGCCAAATTATTCAGAAGAGAAAATGGATGTGAACTGTTAAATAATTACCCAAACTGTCTATTGGAAACATCTATCCCAGCTGCACAGTTTCCCTGTGCAGTGAGGGATTATCACCAACATTAAATCATAATAAATTGTTCTAAATTGGAAATATATTTTAAAGAATGGGTCTGGTGATAATCTATATTTTTTGTTAATATCAACTAATCTCAGGAAAAGACATTTATCCATATAAGAATATTCAAAGCCTGATATTATTTTTCTGAGCCACTATTGTTGTCCAAAAACTTTATAAAAATTGTTAATAAGCCACGCCCCGTGAATGTACCTTCATTTCACTGAACATTGGCACATGTAGTGTATTTTGAGTCAAACCCACATCCTCCATCCTGCTGCCAGACATACTCACTAGAACACCGAATGGAAATAGAAAAAATTCACTATTTATTCACTACTAGTTTTTCAGCTGCATTATGAAAGTATTCAGCAGTTTTAAGTAACTGAAGTATATATTTATGAGCCATTTTTAAGGATGCCTTCAGAAACAATCAGACTTGGGGCTGAGAGCCACAGACAGGTTAGCAAAGTCAGACAGACTGATGCATTGTTGGTTTTGGTTCTTTCATGACATTTGTTTACACTGTAGACAAAAATGGCGAGCCTAAAACCCCAGTTAGCCAAACTCGCAATGATGCTATGATCCTCGTTCTGAGCAAATCCTTTGCTGAGTGTAAGTAACAGAAATGATGAAGATAATACCCAAGCATAAATAAAACAGAATCATCATTTATTCGTAATTGTGTAATCCCTGGGTATTTTCTCCGGTCACCACCTTCCTGAAAGTGAGTGCCAGCAGGCGACAGAAGCAGTTGTTGATCGCTGAATGGGATTTTCCTCTTGAGGGACGCATACAAGGGTTTTGTTCTCCGCTGTTGTATTCCCGGTTCAAATCTAAGGTGGTTTCCTTCAACAAAGCCTGACTTATAACATAAAACAATCAAGCATTGGGGGAGGTGGAAAAAAGGAATTATTGATGCAGAAAATTGATTTTTGTAATGAAATGTAATGGAAACAAGTCGCTTCGCAAAATGTCTCAAGCAATGATTTTAAACAAGCTCACGTGTCACTTTGTGTTTTTCTATGTGTGGCTCAATTATCTACTGTGATTATACTAATGTCTCCAAATGTATTGGGTGTAATTTGTAAATGCTGCATATACCTTTAAATATATGCGTGTGTGTGTGTGTGTGTGCTAGTTTGAGCGTCCACACACAAATACACACGCCTACATCCATGCACATTATAGAATCTGCCAAACCATGATGATCCACTGTCTTGTATAATGGGCATTGTACTGTAAACATTAGCTGTCTGTCAACACAGCTCAGCATCGTTCTGCCGCTCTTCATTGGCACTGTAGGTGTTTGTTTGTGTGGGTGGGTGTGTTTGTGTGCCATTATAGATGGATTCAGGTATAAACAGCTGGTCCACTTCAACCGCGTATTTAGAGCTAGACACTAACATTCTAATTAATTTTGATCGACTTCAGCACTAATGCGATTTTGTTTTCACTGTCAGCACTCCAGCACCTTCCCCACTGAGTCTCCACTCGTGCTTTATTATCTCACTATTTTCTTCACCCACCTTTCTCCTTAACACCCAACCGTCTCTCTACAACTCTCACTGAAAGTGTTATTAACTCAAGGTCAGTTTCTTGACTGGAGGGAATGAGTTTCAAGAGTAGGATTGTATTGCTCTTCAGCTTGCAGATAAATCTGTCATTTATTGAGTTAAATGAAGTTCATGTTGCAGCCCACACGGGCCTTCATCAACCTGAGCTGAGGATCTCATCAGTCTGTGTATCGGTGTGTTAAAAAGTCACATTTTAGCCCCAATGGCTATTGAGAGCAATTCAGTGAAAGAGCAGAGCTACTACTTAAATTGACCGGTTGAATTTGCTTCCATTATGATGATCTGAAGTTTAAAAAGTGTGTGGTGGGAGCTGAGAGGCCAGTGGTCTGTTGTCGGTACAACGTAATAGATTAGATGGCAAAAGTTAAGCTGAAAACTGAAGTCATCTGAAAAAAAAGCATTAAAGCTGCTCTGATCAATCGCGATGCATAAGTGTCTCCATTACTGACCAACCCACAGTGAATTACCACCCATCTCTGCTTTTCCCCTCAGCATTTCAGCATCTTTCAGCTCACTGTTTTTAGGTTTACTGCTTGCAAATTGACTGTTTGGTTCACTTTCATCAACTTCCCTTTTAGTCATATTGTGGCAGGCAGCTGTTTTCAGCAAAAAGCTCTGATAAACCTACTGTAGCCTCCTGTTGAGCACTGACAAAAACAGACAAATTAAAGAATGTTTAGCATTTAGTAAAAGAGACATATTTGTCTCTGTTGGTGGAAAACAAAAACAGAGCTAAACTAGAGACCATCAATGTCCCCCTATTTCCAGAGCGCTTTCTCGGACCACATCCATCTTCGAAATCGGCCTTGATTTTGATCTCAACTACACACCTGTAAAGTTTCGTGACTGCATCTTGAACGGTTGTGACGCTATCGCGGTGACAAAATCTGTCCACAGACAGACAGACATATAAACACCTGGCAAAGTAAGTTGCTTGTGGTAGTTCCAGCTACAGTTGGTGTCTCCAGGATCACATTTTGGCTGGTAAAGAGAGTGAGCATTTGACTTACATTTGTCGACCAGAAACACAACTCTGCTGGATGTGAAAATATGCAATCATTAGCTAAATATATTCAGCTGAGATGATGCCAATGCTGTGTTTACAGCTTGTTGTGCTGCTCCCAAGTGGCCTAAACAAAAGTATAGCCGTTTTCACGCTTAGTCAATTGAAGTTTAAAAACACAACCTCTCTTGGTAATGTCAATTACTACCAGTGTTAATTAATCCTATTAATACGTTGCTTTGATAGATGTTTGTAGCGCTAAGGGTCTATGGTTGTCTAGGGGTTATTATTGGGACCTCCAGGGATCAAAAGGAGAAAAATAATGAATCGTATAAAATCATAGATTGGTCTGTGGGGAGTTTTTCTACTTTTCCTTTTTACCTAAAGTCAGAAAAACATATTAGATTTTATCTTTTTATGCCACTGGATTCAGTGTGAAGACATGTTAAACAGTGCATTTCCTTTATTTTAAGAGAAACTGGGAATCGAGCCAAACTCGCTCATTATTCCTTTAAAATGAGGGACACAATAGACATCCATGAGCTTTTCTGTTCAAGCAGGAAAGATAAAATGACATCACCATACTTCCAGTCCCCCACAACCTAAAGACTGATGTAATTACCTCAGCACCGTGTTGTCCTCTCAACTCGCCTCTTCTTCCTTTTCCTCCTGCAGACAGCAACTTCATCCTGGCTAACGCACAGGTGTTGAAGGGCTTTCCCATTGTCTACTGCTCCGATGGCTTCTGCGAGCTTACGGGCTTCTCCCGGGCCGAGGTCATGCAGAAGAGCTGTGCCTGTAAGTTCCTGTACGGGCCAGAGAGCAGCGAAAGCATCATCCTCAGCATCGACGACTCCCTGGAGGAGCGAAAAGAGTTTAAAGATGAGATCATGTTCTACAAAAAGACAGGTAAGCAGTGGAAACACAGTGTTGCTTTTAGTTGCTGGTTCAATTGTCGTCGTCGTTTTGCTGCTCTCTGGTGCTCATATCTTATCACTTCCTAGTCTTCCTATACCATTTACCAATTAAGTGTTGGAACCGAGGCAAGTAGACAGGCACAGAAAGCCATTAGAGTGCACACAGACGGAGAGGGTACCATGCTGGAATTTGCCTGTGTATTTCCATAAATGGATGGCAGTTCTCTGTGGCTATTTCTGGGGAAGCCACATTTAAATTGGCTGAGATGGACCCATGGATAGACGAAGCAATGGCTGGATTAATGAGTGCATAACTTTTTTATTGGCTCATTCTCATTAAAAGGCGATTAAACGAAGCAATCAGTCACATAAGTCCTCCAGTTATTATCATTTAACGTTGACACACATTAAACTTTCATAGCCGTCAGCTCGTGACTCCTCAACCCGTGTCTCCTTTGATTACACTGAGCCCAGTAGCTCGCCGTGGTGTGGTGTAGTTTGGCGTGTGCCTCGCTGATTAGCCAGCTGGCCATTGAACAAAATGAAGCCGAAAATAATGAGCACATCTCGGCATCAGTGGACACATGCTCGCTGTGATGTGGGATGGTGCCATGTGCCCTTGCATGATTATTTGAGTTTTCTTCACATTTATGCTTCATGTTATTGCAGTTGTGTATTGTTTGTTGCATCTGCTCCGTCATAAATCAAGAGAAACCAGTTATTTGTAATACAGTATCAACACTGCAAGCTTTCTCATTTCTGCAGAGATACAATTATAAGCATTGAGATTGAAAGTTCATTCCTGATGTTGGAAATATGTTGATGAAATACTTTCACATTCAAGCTTTTGATCATTTTTAACGCAAGTTAACGAAATACTTTTCAATCTCAGCTTTTGAGCCGACACGGACAAGAAGTATTTAAAGTGCTCAGATAAATAGGAATTTAAACATTTGCAATTAAATTGATTAAATACATTTCAGACACAGTAGTGTTTGCGGTTGCGCATCTCATTTGTGATCAAAGAAATATGACGCTTTAAGGTTTTTTTTCGTAGATGACTCAGTGCAGTTTGCATCATAGACAAAGCTCTGCTAATACCAGCGCATACGTGACCGTCTACACCACTCCGTCTCATGCTTTGTTGTCTTTTCTGCCCCCCCCCCAACAGATCTCCATTTCCCTTCTGTTCTTTTTACCATTTCTACATACAGTAATACTGTTTGTCTGTCTGTTTGTCTGTCTGTCTGTCTCCCAATGCTTATTTTTCTTTTTTTCTGTCCCTGCCTCTTTATGTCTCATTCCGCTCTTTCCTTCTGGCACAGCAGAGTCCTGAAAGTAAATGTAGCTTACGCGGTTTGTCCTCCGTTTGTCAGCCTGAGCAATCAGGAACGCTCTTTCTCTCGCTGCATGCTTGATAGTGCTGCCTCGTCTCGCAGGCGTGCAGACATTCACACACACACACACACACACACACACACACACACACACACACACAC